GCGAGCATCATGAGCAGCTTCTGCAGCTCTGGCCTGGACAGACCGTGCTGTCCTGGCCGTCGTGAGAGGAGCATGGATGTCACTTTTTGGCACTGGCCTTCGATGTGCCACTACGTGTCCAAGCAGAACACATCCAAGCTCCTGAATCGCTTTGTAAAGCACACGGTGCCTGAGCGGGCTCGAGGCTACAAGAACATCGTCCGCCAACCAGAGCGACCCAAGCTTCGCGCAGCGACCGTGCTTGAAAGCAACGTGAGCCAGCTGCAGCTCGGCTGCTGGCTTTTGCTGGCCTTTTTGCTGGAGCGGACTTTGCTTTGGACAGATACGAGCTCAGCCTGTTCTTTGTTTTGACCATTGCATGTCAGCTCGGCAAGGTTTTCCTGAAGCCGTTGGAAGGCGTAAAATGCAGATGGGTGTGCCTGCACGCGTGAGCCGTCGTGCTGTCCTAAGCATCCCTCAATTCCGGGTCTAACAGACCTTTGAACCCTTCTATCACTGACCCTGATTCCGTCACTTTCCAAGTGCAGAACAAACCGTGCTAAAGAAATTTAATTACATATGACTTCGTTGCTCGACTGCTTGTGCATATGCAATGACACCATCGCTCCCTACATTGGCTTGCTCTGCCAAGCATCGCTGCTGCCCTAATTGGCTGCATGAGAACGGAAGCCGAGGAAACACACGGGCGGGGGGGTGGCATATAGACCCCTATCGGAAACGATAGAGATCTGTGCGCGTCATAGGCGTCTATCCCCAACCCATAGACCCCTACGTATAGGCCCCTATCACACCTAGATTGCCTGGATCAAGACCTGATGTTGGCTCTAGAGTGATAAGAAGATGGGTCAGGTAAGTACCCCACCAACCGTAGGCGTCAATAGAGACCCTTATGCAGACCCCTATGGTTTGTCCATAGACCCCCCCTACCGACAGAGCCTGGTCATGGCCCTGTACACCCTTGTTGATAGACTTGCATAGACCCCTGTGCATAGGCCGTATCTACAGTTACGGTAGCCCCCTATGCGGCATAGGTCCCTATCGATTTTCCATAGCTGCCTGTTCTTGTCGCGATCGGCCCCTGTGCCCTCTTTGTTTTGTTCGAGGCACTTGCGTAGAAGCCAGCATACTCGAGATGCCCGTAAACGTGCAAAAGTGCCGGTTTGGGTGTGGATGCAATGGCCAGGTTCCGTCCTCGGTGCGTTGGGCCTGCAAGCAGCATCTTGCAGATGCTCTGGCATGCGCGATATTAGATTTCGTGCACGACCAAACCTCGATCCTTGGGGGCATGGTCGATCTTCATTTGCATGACACACACAAACCGCTCCTAGACGAGCATGTCTCAAGGCCGCATGAGAAGCCAACGGGTCCTTAATGAGAAGAGATTCTGCATGAAAGGCAATAAAGGGGTGCAGGTGCAAAATGCGGTTCAGGCAACCTTTGCGGTCGCCAGTGGTCATGTCTGTTGTTGGACAGTTTCTGCTGCAGTCGCCGGACGTGGATGCAGTTGCAGATTTTGTTGGTTCAGATGGTTGACTTGGCGGCCTTGCGGCGCACACCGAACGTTTGGCCGCGGAAACTCTCACATGTTGTTCCTGGAGACGCGTGTCGTGCGATTCCTGGGAGGGCAGGTCGCCCCAGTGTACGGCATCTTGCGGAACCACTGCAGCAATATGATAGCTTGGGTTGCTTTGGTTGGCGGACGATGTCCCTGTAGCCTCGCACCCGCTCTGGCGCCGTGTGCTTTGCAAAAGAGGAGCTTGGATGTGTTCTGCTTGGACACGTAGTGGCACTGCCAGGAAAGCAGTTTGTTCAGGCTAGAGCTGCAGAAGCTGCTCATGATGCTCGCTCAGGGGCCCGCAAGGTTGACATGGATATGCATGCTCATGGTGGACGGCCCGGAAAGGGATACGTGCAACCCCAACCCGGCTCACGCATGCCGTCCTGATGGCCACATAGGATATAGGCGAGGAGTTCTGGAGCCATGCAAAATTAAAAACACAGGCCGCGTGATCTCCAGCAGAACCCATTTCTAATCAAGTGTCGCGCGGATACTTGCTTCGGGAAACCACGCCGTGCTTGAAAGCAACGAGAGCCAGCTGCAGCTCAGTTGCTGGCCTATGCTGGCCTTTTTCCTGGAGCTCGACCGCACCGGTGGGCAGGGCGGACTTTGTTTTGGACAGATACGAGCTCGGCCTGTTTTCTGTTTTGACTCCTGACCAATGCATGTCAGCTCGAGAAGGTTTTCCAGAAGCACTTCAAATCATCATTGCTGCCCTAGCTGGCTGCATGAGAACGGAAGACAAGGAGATGCACGGGCGAGGGGGTGGCATATAGACTTATCTCGCGCCATAGGCATCGATTCCCAAACCATAAATCCCTACGTATAGGCCCCCATCCCACCAAAAGGACGCCGAAGGCATAGGTACCTATCCGATTCCTTGTAGAGGAAAAGGGGGGGTCAGGGTTTATACCTTTTCAGAGACCCCTATCCGATGCGGTTTATATTTTTCATTTTTTCGATAGGCAGACATTTTCTTGACTTTTACTCAGTTATGAAGGCCTCCAGAGCAAGACAAAATTTGAAGAGCTTTCCGGCCTCCCAAGAAGTTTTCGGCCACTGTTTGGACCGGCGGATTAGTCATGCAAGCGAGCCAGGAGCGCGGGATTGTTGCATCCAGCATCACCCAGCACTTTATTATTTCTGTGCTCGTGTGTTCGGCATGCTCGGCCAGCACATCAGTCACCTGGGTCCCGAAGCCACGAAGGAAAAAGTCTCGTACGTTGCTGATTAAGGAGCGTGGAGGGCGACAGGGACTATCACATCTACAACATTTCAGAACTGGAGGGCTATGAAGATCCCGTGGACCGCGGCTCTGCAGCAACGGCCCCCGAAAACAGTATTGCTTTTTCACAGCAAGGATTCAGTGGACTTTACCGCGTGATACATCAAAAGCCCGGACGGCATGGCGTTTGCCGGCATCGTCAGTTACAGCTTACTTAACAAAAGATTCGAACTTCTGCGATGCTTGTTTGAAGTCATGCGGGTGTACAGCCGGTGGGATTACAAATCGAAGGCATCTTGTACAACGAAGCCAAACAGATCTTCTTCGAGAAGCTCATGGCCTACAATGTGGCCCGGTATGCAAAACATCGATGGATTCGGGCTTTGGCTTGTCGAGAAGGGTGAATGATTTTTGAAGTTTCCAAACAGATTTCCGAAAGTGTTTTGCTTCGCCGGGTCGTGCTTGAGCCGACAGACTTCGACGGCACTTGGGCCGTTCAGGGTGTCGGGTTCGCGGCCTCGAGCAACTGCAACAACACCACGGCAACGAGTACTGGTGGTGCTGCTACCCACAAGTTTTTGCGCTAGAACTTCGTGCTGCTTTGCGCTTCAAACCCTCCGCCGCACAGGTGACAATGGAGTCCTGTCAGCCGTGCTTCCAGCAGCCTTGCACGCACTTAGGGCTTGGCGTTTATCGTATTGTGCGGGCTAAGCCCATGGGTTTTTCTCGAAGTCGTTTGACCGCATAGTTCTTCCCGAAATGCCCCGCATTGCCTAAAAGCGGCCATCCTGGAAATCTGTTTGCCGTGCCGGCACCTCGGGGGTTTGATATTCGAAATTCCGTTTGTTTGCGTCAGTTGATGGATGAGCAGCCTTTGTGTAGCCTTGTGCAAGTTCACGCTTCGCTTGCTAAGCTAAGCGGGTGGCTTGAACGGTCTCAGGCCTGAGTTGGCTAAGAGCGAGACTTACGACCAGGATGGCTGCGAAAAGTTATTATTCTTGAGATATCTGGCACCAGGCTATTGCTTCACACCAGCCCGCTAGTATTTACACGAGACTGTCACAATAGCAGCTCAGAAGAGTTGTAGCTGGAGGGTACATTCACCATGGTAAGCAGGAAATCCTTCCTTTTCATGCAGGCCTTGACCTCTGAGACATTCAGAAACCCAGTCGAGGAGCGCCAACCACATCTTTCGTCCGTTGAGCGTGGACGGCACTGAAAAAGGCTCGTTCTTAAGTGGAGCACGAAATCCTGTGGTTTGAGGCTTCACACATCCGACACTGGATTCTTGCATTTCGACACTAGTAACTATGTAGTAGAGATGTTGTCAAGGACGTCAGTTTCAGGTTCAAGGTGTCGGTGTCTTGTAGTGACGCTTCCGACGCCCAGACTCAGTCAGGTCCGAGCGACATTCTGCTACCACGGAAACTGGAGTCCTCAGAGATCTTTCTTCTAATCCTCTTAGTACCCAAGCCCTATTTCAGGTTACGCTGGCCGACCCGATCCGCACCTGATCCTCGCAGCGGTTCTGATTTTCATGTGCAACTCGCGTAGCTACGCGTAGCTGCCGAGCTTTGGGAAGATCAGAGGCGGCGACCCGAAAAGAAGCTATTGTGCTGAGTTTCCACACGCTCGGACCTGTAACGTGTCAAAGATGCAAGAGCATGGCATCCCGTCCTCGTAAGGGTCCAAAAGATGTGTCCAAAAGGTGTGATACCTATCATGTCTTGCGAGCCACATGTGGGTGCATCTTTTGGTCCGAATGAGGGTGCAGGTCTGGCATGCTTTAAGCTGGTCATATGCATGCCAGCTTGAATGTTGGTAGACCTGGCGTTTTCCCGGGGCCACCCCAAATCCAAGTAAGGGCCCAACATAGTGATCTTAACGCATCAGAACAAAGTCAGCTTGAAAGATAAGAGGAGCACATGTTCTGGTTTCTGCACAGATGAAGACCGAATGCAAGGATGCGCCAGAGTTTTTGCACCCCTTTACACGATGTGAATATCAGATGTTCCCGGTGGCAGAAGCAAGCCCAACCATGAAAGCCCAGCTGAAGCCAGCAACTCCAAGGCACTTTAGGCCAAGCCTACACACTCAGCTGCAGATCAGCTAACATCTCAGATTGTCACGAAGACTTCAAGGCCCAAGCTCCAACCCCCAAAATTTGGTAGCCGAAAATATCCGAAGCCCGGATCCTCAACCGCATCGTAGATCCAGGTGAGGAAAGACTTGGCGTCTGCACGGGCGGAGAATGAAGCTCTCAGGAACGAGCTTTTCAGGGGTGTGGAGTTTGCAGAGCTTTGGAGCTGGATCGGTTTAGGATGGTTTAGGCTTTGGACAGGGTTGAGGATGACATACCTGCTGAGAAGGAGAATGGAGCCTGCCGGCGTGTTTCCCAGATAGTTTCCATGTGGGAAAAGAGTCACTGATCGATCCTGTGGCAGGGTTGCAGGGGGGCATTGAAGACCTTCTTACGAACGCAACAACTCCGGAACCTGGAACCTGAAGCCTCCAAGCAGAGAGACCATCAAAGAAGCTGGCGAACTCACAGGGCCGAGAACGCAAAGCTGCGAAGCCAGCTGCCCGGGCCTCGATTCCTGGAATCTCTGGGTTCCCGAAACTTCCTACAGCAGCTCTTCCTAGAGTCCAGGATACTCTCAACCGAGCTCTCTGCAAACTCAGGCAGCATGGGCGGAGTGGCGCGGCAGTGCACTCGGCCTTCCTTTAGCAAGCGATTTGACCCTGTGAAATACCGTCGTGACTCTTCTGGGCAGTTCATCAGCTTTGGCCAGACCCTCCAACTTGCTCTGAGGCATCACCGTCAGCTGTCCGAGTGGAGGCTCCGGCGTAGGGTCGGCTCAGAAGAAGCATGAAGAAGCGAAAAAGCGTTCTGGCAACGCCGCTGCGCACTGCACAGGCATCTGACCGAGCGTTTGTTTCGTTCAGCTGGCCAAAGGGCCCATCTGTACTGAAGCTGAGACCATGCTGCTTCCCAGACCCATTTCTGCATGGGAGCCTTTCCCTGAGCGCAGTATTTGATGTCATCTAACGCAGGTCTGCCTTAGGACCTTGCGTTTTCATGGCCTCTGCTCGTTGCAGGCTCCGACAGCCCCTTCTGCCGCACAGGCTCGGTGGTATCACGATAACATTCTCGGGGGATGTCCTTAGTAGGCTTGGCGCATGATACAGGCCCGAAGCAGCACGAACAGACCCGCGAAGTCTTGAGAAGGTGGCCCCAGACCCCTGAGTGGGAGGAAGCGTACACGATGAGCTTCGGGGATGCCGGAGAGAAATATTAATATTAAGTACACGGACCGCTCATGCTAAGTAGGCAACGGCAGATAGATATCGCACGAGCATGATTTGTGCAAGAAGATGCTGAAAATCTCTCCACTAACTCACTCCTCTGTCTTGTTCTTTCGTGTTGTGTTATCAAAACATGATTGACAGTTTAAAGTGAATCACGATCTTACAGACGGTCTTTGCACTACTACTACTACTACTACTACTACTACTACTACTACTACTACTACTACTACTACTACTACTACTACTACTACTACGACTACGACGACGACGACTACTACGACGACTACTACTACTACCAACTACTACTACCAACTACTACTACCAACTACTACTACCTACTACTACTACCACTACTACCACTACCACTACTACTACTACTACTACTACTACTACTACTACTACTACTACAGTACTACTACTACTACTACTACTACTACTACTACTACTACTACTACTACTACTACTACTACTACTACTACTACTACTACTACTACTACTACTACTACTACTACTACTACTACTAGGCTTGCGCTCCTCCTGGCGCCTGGTAGTTTGCAGGTGTTAGAGGGTCAAAAGTACCGGGTTTTACAGGGTTTTGTTAAAATTGCAGTTCACTTACGTTGTCAAAAACTACTTTGATTCACTAATAATTACACTTTTGGATTTGGATGACGATGATGATGCTAGTGATGCTACTGATGATGATGATGATGATGGTGAAGATGCTGAGAATGACAACGATGTGCATGTTATTGGAAGCCACTAGTAGGAGCTCCTAATAGGACTGGTACTCGTACCTAGTAGTACTGTAGTAGTGCTACCATTAGTGCCACTGGTACTGGTACTGCTGCTGCCAGTGCTAGTGCACTGCCAACACACGAAAATCGAGCCACTGTGCGGGCCCCCCACCCTCACTACCCCCCCGCACCAGTGGAAGAAAATCCTTCGAAAACACACGAAAATCGAGCCACACCGTGGGGATTGCTAAACCGGCAAAAATTGTGGTGAAGCATGTCGTGATTGACACCCCCACCATGCCCCCAGTCGAACAAAAGCCCCCGTAAAACGCTCCCAAGTACCGGCACTGCCAGTGTGTTTTAGCAACAAGAAGACCATTGCGGTCGACCATGTCGTTATTAACCCCCCCCTCCCCCCCACCCACCCAAAACCTCCCCGAAACGCTTGAAAACAGAGGAAAACACCATGCGCCAGGAGGCGCGCATGGCTACTACTACTACTACTACTACTACTACGATTACGACTACGACTACGACTACGACTACGACTACGACTACTCCTACTATCACTACTACTACTACTACTACTACTACTACTACTACTACTACTACTACTACTACTACTACTACTACTACTACTACTACGTGTTATCTCCTGTCGGAATTACTGAATGCACGCCTCCCGTCGTCAATGCTCCTATCGAGCCCCGCGGAGCTGGCTTTGCCGTGCCAGGTGGGTGACAAAAACAACTACTACGACGCCTACTACTACTGCTGCTACTACTACTACTGCTACTAACTCCCAGCGTATTTCGTTTCTCAAAACCTGCCCGACCTGTGCTTCTCAATCGGATCGGAGGGAAAGGGGATGAGTGCGGTCTTTTCTAAGTTACCCAATACCAAAAAGAGAGGCCTTTTTATTCTTAGGTTACTGGGTATCCTCCCTTATCCCATCCCCAAACCCAGGGTGGAATCCTAAGCCACAGCTTCAGGTCTTTGAGCTCGAGGACCGAGAAGATTAAACTGGGGTCAGGAAGTGGAACGTGTCGTAGCTACCATTACAACAACACCACCAACGATTATTGCTATGTTCCACGCCCCGTGCCATGTCCACGTCCACTGCCCTGCCCTGCCGCTGCCGCTACTCTGATACTACATAATCCTACGACGACCACCACATCGACAATTACCAGGACGAAGACTACTACACACCAACACCGCCACGATCACATTTATACTACGGATAGTATGCAGGGGTGCATAGACAAGAAGCGAATTACAAAGTACTCAGCTGACCTGCCGCCCCCAGATGTTTGGGGGAGTCACAGTTGCATGCAGAATTCACGGAGACGATTCAGAAGGCACCACACATGCAGCCCGGTTGTGCAACAACGCAGCCCGGAGACGGTAAAGTCGATTTCGAGAACGATGTGCGGCGTGTGTGTTCGACTTGAGAATGGCTTTCAGGATGATTTCAGGAGAACGGCATGCTCCGACTCGACACTAGGAACCGAACATGCCGCCGACACCGAGAGGGCTGTCAATCGCGCCAGTGTGTTGTTACATATACATGTGCATATATGCATACTTATGTGTACATATATAATACAATGGATCGCGACCCGAGAAAGCCGACGAGCGCGGCCAGCATAACAACGGAAATCCCAGCACAAGAGAAAGCCAAGCATAACGAGGAAAAACCCAGCATAAAACAAAGCCAGGTCCAGCAAATAGAAGAACCATCAGCGGTGCAAGCGTAAGAAAAGAAAAGGCGGTGGATAGCATAAGAAAATCGCCGTCCCTTAGTTATTATTGTTCCTACCACTGGTATTACAACTAGTAGTAGTAGTAGTAGTAGTAGTAGTAGTAGTAGTAGTAGTAGTAGTAGTAGTAGTAGTAGTAGTAGTTATAGTAGTAGTGGTAGTAGGGTCCATCACCCTCGTTTGCCGCACTTCAGGGGTGACTTTCGGGGTGGGGTGGGGCTTAATCACGTCCACTTGGTCACCATCATCGTCATCCTCTTCATCAACACGGCATGCTCATCGTTTACGTATTTTACGTTCCGGTACTCACATCATCCACACATGAGGAAAGAGCTTGACGGTCTCTTTCGGCAGCCTGGCTCGGCTTCTGGGGTTGAGAGAGCTCCAGTGCAGCCATGCCTTTCGGTGCTGGGGTATGCACTCCCACATTTTTGGAAGCGTTCAGCAACCTTTTGGTGCTCATCGTTTGATGTCTTCGCAAAATGGTAGGTTGGTTGGGCATGGCCCATTTGCGAGCTGAAACTTACTCTGCTGGCGGCAGCTTCAGGCTCCACAGATTTTTCAGCTGTCTCTTAGTTTTTGTCCCCACCCTCCCTCCCGGATTTCTCCTGCACTTCTCGACCCATCTCCTTAGGAGTACGGTCTTCGACAACTCACTGCTCACCACTGCAGCTGAAAAAGAGAGGAATGTGCGAGCCTGCATGTTCGTTTCTTTGTGTTTGCTTGTCCTTCTACGAGTCGGGGTGTCCAGTTATGTTTGGTAACCTTTTGTGAAACATATACCTAGCACGTAACTTCACCAAATACTTGACGAGCTAAAACTGCAGATGTGTTTTCCTTGAACACCGCTCTGCTCGCACTGCTAATGCTAGTAGAAATAGACTCGGTAATTACTTTGAGAATACCACTCCCACCTGTGCGAGACACAGGCACACATTATCAAACAGAGCTTTCGAAGGGGAAACAAACTCGGAAGGTGCAGTCGTCAGGAGACCGGTGCGCACAGAGATGCCTGGAGCTCTATGTTTGCGCAGAATGCACCAATTTGCGAAGCAGTCTTGCGAACCTTGTGCGTCTACGCAGATCATGTGGAAGACACGCTTGCGCCGAACATGGCGTTCCAAGACACGTCGTGGCTGCTGCCGCCGTAAAAACACGCATTTGCCAGAGAACGGAACAGCAAAACTCTATGTTTTTGCGAATTTCAGAACGAAAAGCAAGGACGCTCAAATCGTCCTGTCTTCGAATGCAAATGAGATAGCATGTTTATGCCGAACTTGTGCAGCTTTGTGGCTCATGCGATCGTTGCCGTTGGTGGCAGCGTCGGGGGCCTCGGGAGGAGTTTTCGGATTGCTGGTTCAGGTTCTCCGGGAATTGAGTTCGGGGCAAGATTTACTGGTGCCTCCTGAGCCGAGCCTGGTCCCTCCGGTGCCTGGCCTCCTGGAATTGGACTCTGGACTTTGGCTTGGGTCCTACCATCTGCCTTCGATCCTCTTGGGCTTAATCCTAGGGGTCCTGCTGGCTCCCGTCTTCGATTCCCTTCTGCTAGCGAGGTTGCGATTAGCTCGCTCCTTGCACCGCTGGGGCGCCCCAATCCCTGAAAGGCTTTATCGCATCCTTGAATGAGCAGCGAGATCTCGTCCCTCCGTGCTGAAGTGCGCGCTTTGAGATCACTCTTGGAAAATCTTGAAGGGCGAATCCTCGCTCTCGAGGAAGCTGGGGAATTCGAGGTCGTGAGCTCTAGTGGTGTGCCAGCGTCTCCGGCCCCTTCGAGGTGGCAGAGGACCCCGGGCCGAGGCGGGTCTGAAGCTGCTGCGCCAGGGATTCCTTCGAGGGACTCCGGGGCTGTCTTTGTGGACGGATCATCAGCCGACAATCCAGGGCCACCCACTTCTGAGTTCAGGGTCCACATTGCGACTGAGGTTGGGAAATTCTTGACTCGGGCGCTGTCGGGAGGGTTCCGCGGGAGTTCTGGGAGGGAGAGCCTCCGTCTGGCTTCCAAGCAGTATATCGTTTGCAGGGACTATCACGGGAAGGCCTTCTCGACTCCGATTGCGACTTCGAGCTTCTCTCGAGTAAAGAAAGCAGTTGTGCTTCTATGAGGGGAACAGGAGTGACTCTGGACAAGCCGTTTTTGTGGGTTTACCGTCACAGGCGGAGGTGCGCATCTGTCTGTCTGCTGCCCGACTCCCTTGCCCTGCCCTAACGGGCAATGGCGGAGGAGGAAGGTGAAGAAAGCGAGGGGGACGGCGGGAGTCAGGCTCCACCGGGGCTCGCCGACTTTTTGCTGTGCGACAGTGGGTCTGACTTTCGAATT